CAGACTCGCATGTTCTCACTCCTGAATACGATCAAGTGACTCCCAACTTGAAAAGGCCCTTGTGTGAACTTCAGATAAAACAAGATGGAACTTATACCAGAATTATTAATTAAATTGAAAAGACTATAGACCCTCACCTTCAAAAATCCTACATAAAGAATAATCATTTGGAAGAAGGAAACATGCAGTCAGTTCCTGGATCTGGTTTCATGCAGCATACACCCCGACTCTCCTTTACTCCAGTTCAGTTGGAGTCATACCTAATGCAAAGGATGGTTGTGGTTTTTTGACATCAGTGATCTCAGCTCCAGGACATCTCTACAGGACTTCCTCAGGGTATCTATTTCCTAATCAACTTATTCAGAGATGTTATTACACGCCTCTGCAGTAGGTAGGACTTGAACCTGGGTCTCTTAGCCCAAAGGCAGGAACAATCCTTGTTCCTCAGGGTAGAGTCCTAGGCCCAACCATCTTCAACTGCTTCATCAATGACTTTCCTTCCATAATAAGGTCTGAAGTGGGCATGTTCACTGATGATTGTACAATGTTTAGCATCATTTACAATGCCTCAGTTATTGAAGTGGTCCATATCCAAACACAGCAAGTGCTGCACAATATCCAGACATGGTCTGACAAGTGACAAGTAACATTCATGCCATATAAATGCCAGACAATGACCATCTCTAATAAGAGACAACCTAATCAATGTCCCTTGATATTGAGGCATTACCATTACTGAATACCCTACCATCAATATCCTTGGCATTACCATTGGTTAAAAACTCTACTGGACTAGCCATGTAAACACTGCAACTACAAGAGCAGGTCAGAGACTAGGAATATTGCAGTGAGTAGCTCACCTCCTGACTCCCCAAAACCTGTCCCCTATCTATAAGGCACAAATCAGGAGTGTGGTGGAATACTCCCCACTTGCCTGCATGGATGCAGTTCTATAAACATTCAAGAAATTTGACACCACCCAGGACAAAGTAGCCCACTTGATTGGTTCCACATCCACAAACATCCGCTTCCTTCACCACCGACACTTAGCAGTAGCAGTGTGTGCCATCTACAAGGTGCGCTGCAGAAATTCACCAAAGCTTCTTTGACAGCATCTTACAAACTCATGGCCACTTCCATCTGGAAGAACATGGGCAGCAGATAGATGGGAACACACCACCTGCAGGTCCACCTCTAAGCTATTCACCATCCTGACTTGGAAATATATCACTGTTCCTTCATTGTCTCTGGGTCAAAATCTGGGAATTCCATCCCCAAGAGCATTGTGGGCCGTCCTACAGCATATGTATTGCAGTGGTTCAAGAGGCAGCTCACCACCACCTATGGCAACTAGGAATGAGTAATAAATGCTGGCCCATCCAGCGATGCTTACATCTCATGAGTGAAATATAAACAAAATCCCTCATCTATGAAAAGTGAGCAATTTTAGACATGTGAATCTGACCCAGAATCCACATCATTTTGGAAGGAGTAGGGAAGGGTGAACATAGGGAAAGAGTTCCAGACTTTCTGCAAATTCTCTGTGCAGAAGCTTCCTATGTCTAAATTCAAAACAGTCATGGAATTGATCTGTAAAATACCGGTCAACAAATCTTTATAGCAAAGACAATAATTTCCAGAATGGTGGGGAATTAAATACGGATGGGGGCTGGAGAAGCAAAGGACCTTTCTCAATGTGGATCTTGGTGGGTGATCATTCTTTTTATAATTTGTTATTTATGAAGATTGGGTTTGAGAAGTCACAATTCAGTTTCCATGCATGCGCATGATTGTAAAATATGAATATGGCTACAGTTGAAAATCTCTTATCAAAGGCCAAAAGGGTGGTTTATGATGTGAAATGGAAACAGCATACTGGCCTTAATTACATAATCGAAGACAGAGAAGAGCTAAGGAGCATGAAAATGAAGGATGGTCACCAAGCAATTCAGTTCCAAATAGTGTTGGGTTAAACGACAACTCAAATTTCCATCCTTAAATCATTTTATTGCTTCACTCTTAAACAATAGGCTGCAAGAGTTAACCTGACTTAGTGGTCATACTAAGTTGCACATTTAAACCTCACACCAGAGTCTAAGCTCATACTCTAGGTCTGTACTTCAGTGCAGCACAAGAAATGTTCCTCTCTGAAAAGGTGTCTCTCAGAAGAGATGAACCTGTCTGTCCCCACACATGGATATAAAAAGGTCCCAATGAGTGCTCCCAGAACAAATGATTTTTCTTGAATAAAATCAACAACAAAACCAGCTTAGTTGAACTTGCATCCCCTCACTGCTAAGCCGATACAGCCGCTGCTGGTCTGCCTCTATTACATTTGCCACTACACTGCACAGCCAATATTGTGGGAAATCCAGAGATAGTGAAAGGCACTATTTAATGGCAAGTTGTTTTATTAATGTAGTTCCCTTTAAGTAGTTTAATTATGAACACATACTGACAAATCCTCTTTCAATATTACCTATATAGAAGTACAGGTAGGCCATTCTTTCCTCTCAATCCTGCTGCACCATTCTAGATCATCTACGTCAACACCATTTTGTCACAGTAATCCCATTTCCCTTGACGTCATTAGTAATCAGAAATCTACAGCTGTCTCTTTTGAACATGCTCAATGACTGAGCTTTTCACAGCCATATGGGATAGAGTATTCCAAACATTTTTCACCTCTTGAGTGAAGACATTTCTCCCATCTCAGTCCTAAACGGCTTGCCCCTTTTCTGGAGATTGTATCCCCTGGCTCTAGACACTGCCTCCCCTGGGCCTCAGGAAGGTGAAATATCCGTTCCTGCAACCCCATGTAGGCCTTTCAGAATTCTGCACGTTTCTGTGAGACCACCTCTCAGTCTAAAGCCCAAATAATCTCTAGCAGAGAAGATCAATCTCTCCTCTTGTAAAACAAAATCTTTTGAGGCTGTGTCAGAATTCCGGTTCAAATATTAATGCTGGAAATGTTTTTTTTTATACAATTTATAGACTGTTCTCTCTTATTAGGAGACAATAGCCTAGTTCCAATGTCATTGGACAACTAATTCAGAGATCCAGGCTAATACTTCAGAAACACGCGTTCAAATTCTACCACATTCAGGAATGAAATTTAGAATGTGAACAAGTGATAAATGTGAATTGAAAGCTCGTCTTGATAATATTGTTATGAATCTATCAATTGTCATAAACTGTCACTAACTGGCTCACTAACTCTTTCAGAGGAGGCAGTGTAAGAACTCATCTGGTTTACTAATGCCTTTTTTTGGGGAAGGAAATCTGCCATTCTTACTTGGTCTTATCGACATGTGATTTCAGTCCCCCAGTAATGTGGCTGCCTCCAAAATGGCTGAGCAAGCCACACAGTTATACTAAACATCTGATGTCAGGCAGGACGTGCAGGGCTTCTGAGGGACATTTAAGGATGGGCAACCTATGTAGTGACATCCACATCCCATGAAGATATCAGGAAGAGAAACATCACAAACTGCTCCACACACAGGCAAAGTTCAAGGACTGTGACCTAGATTAGGAAAGTGACACTTCACCTAATAATGTCATCTTGCAGCTTCAATTGTAACACAAAGCAACACCTTGAACTGAGTAGTTCTACAGAGTTTAACAGAGCCCTTTTAAAGATGGCTGAGGACAAATTCTCTGATTACAATTCCCACTTGGTGTTTGCTCAAAACCAAATTAAAATTAAAATGTCACTTTACTCTCAGACAATTGAAAACCTGGACACTGTGCTCTCGCCACAAACCTTTAGAAGTCATGGAACAATTTTCCTTCTTTCTTTCCCTACCCTTTCAAACAGTTGTACCTTTCTGTTCGTGGATATACATTCGTCTAAACCAATAGGACTACTGCGAGGACTCAGCAGTAACAGGACATCCTCTGCATTGCGCTCTCGTCTATTTTTAAACTAAAAGTGTTTTGGCACAGGCTATTGAGAAAAAAAACATCAGCTTTGACAGCGTCTTTCAAATTTCATTCAGCGTGCAATTTTAAGACTGTACATGAAGAAACGGCACTTTTTCTGCCTGATAAAACGCTCGAGTAACTTAATATGACAAAACAAAATGCTATCCCATCAGAATGTGCACAGGATGCCATCATTTCAGCTGTATCTTTTCAACTCGGCAATCACCCTTTTGTAAAAGATCAGCACGTTGCATTGAAAGAAGGTCCGATTACAAAACCCAAAATGAAGAGCATGTGATCAAAGTTAATCTTTCCAATAATTGCTCGTAATTATGGGATGTTTAGTTTTAAAAGAAGCCGTGAGTCACGACTGCTGCTGCATTGCAGAAGGATTCTAACCACTTCTGTCTGGCTGTCGCTCTGTGTTTCCTGCGTGCGCGCCTCTCTGACACAAATGTAAAAAGTTCAGTTGGACTGGCGACTTCAAACTTCGAAACCGTGTTTCAGACAGCAAGGTCCCAGTAAAATTCACATCACTTCATGCCTGTGCAAGATGCCAAGTGGGTAGTATACTGCAACGCATCCATCGCTCCCATAAGATTCTGGCTAAAATAATGCAGGCGACACACAAGCACCAAACCTAACAAAGATTCTAATCTAACTAGCAATAAGACGCAGAAGGAATGGGTAAGTTTCCACATAAAAAGAAGGGTCTAGGCCCGAAACGTCAGCCTTCCTGCTCCTCTGATGCTTCTTGGCCTGCTGTGTTCATCCAGCTCTACACCTTTTTATCTCAGATTCTCCAGCAACACCTACTATCTAACATCTACTAGCCCTTAGAACCTCACTTTTTGGCCACGTTGACTGACTTCCTGACGCTTATGCATCAGAAAACGTGTTCTACGTAAAAAGAAAATGTAGAAACACACAAATTATACAAACATAAGCCTGTGAGCACCTCGTTAATATTTTTTTTAAACGTGCTATACACATCCCGGGTTATCAGCGCCCTGTTCAGACAGGGCACTAAGTGAACCCTCTCTGTTTGCTCTCTTGCCCCTTCCCCGCTTTACCTTTAGCTGCGATTTAGACACTTTGCCACTTTTCTCCACGTCTAGCGCTGTGAACGCGTACCAAATGGACTTCAACAGCTCATTCCGCAACTCCATCCTGGCACTGAGTGAAAGTCGACAGCACACGGCACAGGCTCAACTTCTCATCTCCTCCCTCCCCACGTCCGCGTTCCCGGCGCCGGGAGCGAGCGCCTGCTGCTTGTTGCACGCCCCCGCCACCCAAGGGTGCAGCGAGTCGAGCACAAGCGCAGCTCATCTCCTCAGTGCCAATTGCCCTGTTCTACTCAATCAGAAACTTTCCAGTTCACCCACATAATCATGTATATGCTCATACTGAAGCTTACTGATCTTTGTATATCCTCACCGACTACTGAGGTTTGTGTATGTTCACGTGATTTTTGAAACTTACCGATCTATTTACACATGTTCTCACTGATTTCAGAGGTTTACTGATCTACTTAGAATTATGGACACATTCAAGAGTTTTTACAGCTTGGAAAAAGATACACAGTGCTCCACCTATAACTCTACTAACATTGTATACAGCTCCAGCATAACCTGGAACACACACAGAAGTTGCTGGAAAAGCTGAGCAGATCTGGTATCATCTGTGGAGAAAAAAATCAGAGTTAATGTTTCAGGTCCGGTGACCCTTCCTCTTGGATCCAGCATAACCTCCTGCTCTTGTATTCAATGCTTTGACTAATTAAGACAAGTATCCCATATGCCTTCTAAACCGCCTTAGCTACCTGTCCTGCGAGCTTCAAGGATGGATGAATGTACACACCAAGGTCCCTCTATACTTCCTAGGGTTCTGTGTTTCAACATGTACTCCACTGTTTGATCAGTCCTCCCAAAATGCATCACCTCACACTTTTCAGAATTAAAATCCATTTGCTGGTGTTCTGACAAGTCCATCTATATTGTCCTGTCGTCTAAGGCTTTCTTCCTTGCTATTTACCACACCACAAATTTTTGTGTCCTCTGCAAACTTACTGATCATGCTTCCTATATTCATGACTAGATCATTAATATACACTACACACAGCAACGGACTCAGTACTGAACCCTATCATACTCTAGTGGGCACAGCTTTGAGTGACAAAAACATCTTATGTCCATCACCCTTTGCTTCCTGCCACCACGTCAATTTCAGATCCAATTTGCAAATACTTCTCTAGAGTATCCCTGGTGTCTGCCATAAGCTTGATTTTTTTTTATCCAATCCTGTGTGTTCCTTGACACGCAGGGTTCTCTGGACTTGCTGATCCACCCTTCACCTTTACAGTACATGTTGACCCTGCACTTTCACTCTTACCCGTTTGAACGTCTCCCATTGCTCTGGTGTGGATTCTCCTGAAAATAGCTGCTCCCGGTCAACTTTAGCCAGATCGTGTCTGATTATATTAAAACTTGACTTCTCCCAGTTCTGAATCTTTATTTCCAGTCCATATTTGTCTTTATCCATGATTACCTTAAATCTTACTGAATCCTACTGACTGAAATATTTCCCCATTCACACATCTACAACTCACCTGCTTTGTTCCCTAAAATTAGGTCCAACACCACTCCCTCTCTTGGACTTTCTACGTGTTGGCTTATAAATCTCCCCAAACACATTTAAAAATTCTGCCATCTCTAAGCCTTTGATATTTTGTCTATCCCAGTTAATATTGAGGAAGTTGAAATCCCCTACTTTCTAACTTTTTTATTCAGCATTCTACTAGGTATTGTCTTTCCACATTCTATTTGTTTCTTTCCATATATGCACCTTTCTCCAAACAGGGTTATCACTAGAATATCTTAAGATCATCAGCAAACTCCCAGCTCAGTTAACTGCAGATTGAATCCAGTACCTCAGAGTAGCATCAGCATCTTGAAATAAGCCTGTGCAAGTTATGACCAACATAATCCACAGCGACATTGAAGGTTCAATCAAACCACATTCAATTCTCCAAGTTCCACTTCAAGTCACACAGCATCCGGACTCAGAAATATTTCAACTTTCCTTCATGGTTGCTGGGTCAAAATCCTAGAATTTGCTGTCTAACTGCACTTAGGCTGTACATTCATCACATGGGTGTGCAGTGATTTAAGAAAATGGCTTGCCATCACCTTCACTAGGGTAATTAGGTAATAAATGTTGGCAATGAGGTTGTAGACTTATTCGCTGAGCAAGTGTGTTTGATTGCTGATGTTTTGTCACCCTGCTAGGTAACATCATCTATGCGCCTCTGGTGAAGCATTGGTTTTCTGTCCCACTTGTTATTTATATGCCTTGGTTTGCTGAGGTGGTTGGAATCAGTACCAGTTCTATTTTTCAGTGGTTTGTATAATGGGTCCAGTTCAATGTGCTTGTTGATGGAGTTCCATCTACAACCTCATTCACAACCTGAGCTACAAATCTTCTCAAAAACTTTAAATGTCGGCAATGTTGTCCACACAACATGAATGAATTGGAAAAAAGAATTTAAATGGGAGGACAAATTAAGAAGGCTAATGGATGTATTTTCTGAAAAGGAATGCCACAGAAAATGGTAATTTCAAATTTTGTTTATGGTGATTATTTGCCTCAGGAGCCTGCATCAATCAACAGTCAACTCTTCCAATGAGTCACTCAGCAGGGACCTGATACTAACAACATCAATACTGGTATATTTCATGCATTACTCTTCCTGAGTGAAAAGTTTCTTTTTCAGACACATTTACCTCCTGGGGATCTGCTTTTGGTATACAGAAGCTCAAACGCAGAGTGAACTATCACTCACAGTAGCATTAGGAAATGATGGATTGCTGTTTGGCAAGTTCTCTCTCATGTCTTTGTGGTCTCTACTGTCACGAGTAAAGTGAATCTGCTTACACTGGAATTACTGAAAAGATCCACTAATTGCACTATGTAATGTCAGTGGGTGAAATGGAAGTAGTGACTGGCTATTTCGTGAGAAATTCCATGCAGTTATTCAATTCAATTTTTGAGTTGGGGAGACATTGGTTCTTTGTGAAAAACCATTCTTCAGTTTCCAAAACCTGACTACTGAGAAGCCAACACTTCTTTAGCATTGAAGATTTATCCTGTTTTAGTTTTGGCCTTAATTTCAATAAAAAGGTTATGTTACCATAAGTTATGTTACAAGTTAAACAAAGTTTTGATTACCTGTTTTGAGTTCTGATTACCAGTCTCAGGAATAATATATTGGACTTGGAGGGGATACAGCACTGTTGGCTAGAATGATACTGTTAAAAGGGTTAAATTGCAACAACATATTATAAAGACAACACTCACATTCCCTTGAACATTAAGAAGGTTTCAATTGAAGGTTACTGAAAGAAACTAATTTGTTTGGTGGAGGAGTCAAATCAAGGAGTCTTAATTTCAAAATTAAAACTAGATTGTTGAGGATTAAGTCAGAAAGCACTTCTTCACATGAAAACCAATGGAAATCTGGATCTGCTGTTCCCAAGAAGCCACTGAGGAGATCAGTTGACAATTTCAGACAGTGATTGATAGTTTTATCAGGTAAGGGTGTTAGGAGGATGGACCCCAGGTGGGTGGAATTGTATTACAGATTAGTCATGGTGTCAAAGAATGGTAAATCAAGCCTGATGAGTTGAATTTCTGGCTCCTGTCCTTATGTTTGCTACAATTTTTAGTTTAAAAATTTTATCTGCGCATTCAAATCCCTCCAGGGCCTCGACACTCACTCTATCCGTAACCTCCTCCAGACTAACAATCCCATCTGAGAACTCTACATTCTTCTAATTCTGGTTTCTCATGAGTTTCTCCTCTTCATTTGGCCCACCACAGGTGACTATGCCTTCCACTATTCAAACCTTAAACTCTGGAATTACTTCTCAAAGTTTGCAGATGATACCAAGTTGGGTGGAAGGGTGAACTGTGATGAGATGAGGAGATCCTTCAGCATGATCTAGACAGGTTGGGTGAGTGGGCAAATCAATGGCAGACACAGTATAATTTGGATAAATGGGAGGTTATTCACTTTGGGAGCAAAAACAAGAGGCAGATTGCTACCTGAATGGCTGTAAATTGGGAGAGGGGAGTGTGCAGCGGGACCTGGGTGTCCTTGTGCACCAGACGCTGAAGGTAAGCATGCAGGTGCAGCAGGTGGTAAAGAAGGCAAATGGTATGTTGGCCTTCATTGTGAGAGGTTTTGAGTACAGGAGCAGGGATGTGTTCTTGCAGTTATACACGGCCTTGGTGAGGCCACACCTAGAATACTCTTTGCAGTTTTGATCTCCTTTTCTGAAGAAGGATGCTCTTGCTCTCAAGGGAGCATAGCGAAGGTTTACCAGGCTGATTCCAGGAATGGCGGGAATGACTTGTGAGGAGAGATTGACTAGGTTAGGATTGTTTTCGCTGGAGTTCATACAAAGGAGGAGGGATCTCATAAAAACTTATAAAATTCTAACAGGACTGGACAGGTTAGATGCAGGGAGTATGTTCCCGATGGTGGCTTTGACCAGAATCAGGGGTCACTGTGTGAGGATTCAGGATAGACCATTTAGGATGAAGATGAGGGAACGTTTCTTCGCCCAAAGGGTGGTGAGCCCGTGGAATTCATTACCATAGGCGGTAGTTGATGCCAAAACATTGAACGCATTCAAGAGGCGGCTAGATATAGCACTTGGAGTGAATGGGATCAAAGGTTATAGGGAGAAAGCAGGATTAGGCTATTGAGTTGGACAATCAGCCATGATTTGTGATGAATAGTGGAGCAGGCTTGAAGGGCCAAATAGGCTCCTATCTTCTATGTTTCTTTACTGCATTCTGTCCACCATTATATCCTCCCTTAAGATGCATCTTAAAATCTGTGACCATTTGGTCTTAATATCTTCCTTGGCTTGGTGTAAGTTGTTGCTTGATTTCATTCCTTTAAAATGCAAATATTTACTACTTTCATGAGGCTATGTTGTTGTTACTACCTATTTATCTAAGCACTGCAGGAGCCAAGGTTAAAGGTCCTTTAAGCATATTGAGGTATGTTGACATTCTACTGGCCATAAACATGCAATTCTGAAAGGCATCCTACAGTTTGTTTAGATAAGACCACTATATCCATTGACTTCTAGCTTACAGTTGGATATCTGGAGCTTTATGAGAAGAACATTAACCCACCATGAGACCTGTCTATTTGCTTAGATCTCCTTTAATGAGCCATG